GGATGTATGGGTGATTACTGTATAATTCTTTCAACTGTACTGTATGTTTTAAAAATTGCCTAATATGGGCAGCACCTGTGGCTCAAAGGAGGAGGGCAAAGGCCCCATATGCTGGAGGTGGCAGGTTCAAACCCAGCCCCAGGCAAAAACTGCTTTAAAAAAAATGCCTAATACATTCTTTTTAGTAAAGCATCACAAGAATAGAGAAGAATCCAATGTACTCAATTCTAATATGAAGCCAGTAGATGATCTAATACATTCCCACAAGGGAAAAACTCAAATCAATTCAAGGTGGGGGGGGCAGGGGAACGAGGGAGGGGGAGGAGGCAGGAGCATGGGACGGTTATGGTGCATGGCACAACTCTTGGGGGTGGGACACGATTATAAGAGGGGCTTTACCTAACAAATGCAATCAGTGTAACCTAATTCTTTGTACCCTCAATGAACCTGAAACAATAAAAAAAAAATTGCCTAATGAAATATTGGAAAACTAAAAAGAAAAAAAAAATCCTTTCTTTTGTTTTCCCACATGTTACTTTCTGGCCTCAGACACTTCACACCTTGTTTCTCCTCCAGCCACATCCTTCTGATGCTGGGCACTGCAGGACACCGTCTCAAAGTAAGATGATGCCTGGCCTGGATCTTATGTTAGGGTGCTAGGTATGCCAACAGACATAGTAGGCTAGCAGTCGGTAGTATACCAGTATGGATAGCAATAAATTAATCGTACATGGAAGCTACTGTGAACGTAAATATACCTCATAAAACAAAAATTAAATGTACATCCAACTCAACTTCTCTTTACCCAAGTTCCCCAAAAGGCCCACAGCCATTTCAACACCAAGGGCAAGAAGGAGAGTCAAATGGAAAAAGTCAGTGGATTTAACTGATATAGCTAAAATCTTTATCTCTTTATGAATTTTGCTATGATATGTATTACCACATGAACACATTCAGGGCTGTCTTGGAAGGAGCCTGTGCAAATAAGGAGCTTGATGGTTAGCCAGGTAATACATGTCAGGTTGATACTGTTGAGGATAATAGTAATTAAATTTTTTTTTAGGACTACCTAATTAGTCAAGTTGTGCGTGATAAAATCCAGAGACAAAAATTTAAGCATGATTTTAGACCTACTGTGCATTCAAACCTGGCTTATCCAGATTACCACTTATGACTTAACACTATAGTGAGCTGTGCAGATCATTCCCCAGAGAAACTCGTGAATATTATTTTAAAAAAATGTTTTAAGTCTCTGCAAATAGTATTAAGGGCATACAGCAAATGAACAAATATTTTAAAAAATCTACTGAAACACAATAAGAACAGCAAGAGTCTACAGAATTTGAATTAAGACCTATTCCCTCTCTCTCTGCTCAGCAAAATAGAAACTCCAGTCCAGGTCAGTGCAGCCAATAGCACTGGGCTTCCTGTCCCACAGCTGGTGGTAGAGGGCCACTTTTCCAAAAGAGGTAGGGCACCGGCGTGTCTCCTTCTACCTCTGTTACCTGTTGCTAAGGCACAGCTCAGTTCCTGTAAGTATGGCTGAAAGGGCTAGGCTAGGCTAGTTGGGTGCAGGCACTCCTTGAATGTAGCACTACTGATTAAGAATCTTGGGGATGCCTGTTGTCTCATTCCCAGAAATCGAGGATGTGAATACTATGGTGACTTAATACAAATATTTTTGCAGTCAGGTGATTCCCAATTTGTTTTTATAGACAAGATCTCACTATGTTGCTCAAGCTGGTCTCAAACTCTTGGGCTCAAGCAATCCTCCCGCCTTAATCATCCAGAAATTTCCAATTTTTTTAACTCAAAGAGATGGGATGGTTATCTATTGGATCAAAAAAAACCAATATCATGAAGTGATTTGGGGCACATAACTTAGAAGTAGTTCAGAGAATTGAGTCGCACTGCTATTATAAAATCCTTTCTGTTCTATTCTATGTAGACAGAGTTTCAGCCTTTACATTTATAAATATTAAAATGATAGAATTGATGCTGAATCCTGTCCCTTTCTAGAAATAAATGCTACACATCCTCAAATGTCTGAACTTATTTATACAGAAGTCTCTTTCACCTCAAGACATATTTCCCAGAAACACATATTTGTTCAAAAACTATTTATTCAAACATGGAATACAAATAATTACATAATACAAATAATTATGATAATCAATCCATGATAAATCTTTTAAACTGCTTTAGGTATAACTTGTATACTAAAAAATTTACTCATCTTGAATGTACCATTCAGTGAATTTTAGCATATTTATGGAGCTGTACAACTATCACTACAATCTAATTTTAGAATTTTTTCATCACTCTAAAAACCTGTCTATTTACAGTCAATTCAGTTACTGACCCCAGCCCTAGGGAATCACTGTCTACTTTCTGTCTTTACACATAAAAATATAAGTATACAATATCTGTTCTTTTATGCCTGGCTTCTTTCACTGAGCATGTTTTTTTGCTTGTTTTTTTGAGACACAGTCTCAAGCTGTTGCCATGGGTAGAGTACTGTGGCGTCATAGCTCACAGCAACCTCCAACTCTTGGGCTCAAGCGATCCTCTTGCCTCAGTTTTTCTATTTTTAGTAGAGACAGGGTCTCACTTTTGCTTAGGCTAGTCTCAGACTGGTGAGCTCAAGCTATTCACCTGCTCAGCCTCTCAGTTCACTGAACGTGAAGTGAGAGACTTGAGTTGCACTGCTAAAAACCTCCTGTCCATTTATAGTCAATTCAATTACTGACCACAGCCCTAGAGAATCACTGTCTACTTGTTTAGTGAACTAGAAACTTAACTTACTGTTTTAGCCTTATCTATGTTGTAGTATATGTAAGTTCTATTCCACCATATTCACGAGTCCTCAAACTTTTTAAACAGGGGGTGAGTTCACTGTCCCTCAGACCGTTGGAGGGCCAGACTGCAGGTCCCCGGACAAGTTGGCTGCTAAGCAGGACAGGTAGCAGTGGCAAAAACACCTGGTGGACTGGATAAATGTCCTAGGCAGGCTGCATGTGGCCCGCAGGCCGTAGTTTGAGGACACCTGATATAGATAGACCACATGTTTTTTAAAGAGCATTCATCAGTTCATTGATATTTGGGTTGTTTTCACTTTTCAACTATTTTAAACAGTGCTCTATGAAAATTTGTGTTCAATACACAATTTGTGTACATGTATTCATTTTATTTGTATCATCTGGATTCTATTTCCAAAACAGGTCAAGAGTCAGCATGAATTCTATTCCAATTTTAAACAGTAAAAGCTAGTCAGCCTGTGGCTCATGCCTGTAATCCTAGCATTTTGGGAGGCTAGGAGTTCGAGACTAGCCTACGGAGATCCTGTTGCTACAAAATATAATCATTAGCTGGGTGTGGTGACACGCATCTGTAGTCCCAGCTACTTGGGAGGCTAAGGCAGGAGGATCACTTAAGCCCAGGAGTTTGAAGTTGCAGTGACCTATGATGATGCCACTGCACTGTAGCTTGAGCAACAAAGTAAAACCCTGTCACACACACACACACACACACACACACACAAAATAGAACTTGTAAAAGCTGAGAAATTCTTTCCACCTAAGTACAATAAGTAAGAGTTTGATAACAGCAGCATCACTTAATTCTTCTAATGAAGAGAAATGAAAACACATCTACACAATTTCACCTAGGAGTGGAATTGCTAGGTTGCATAGTATTGTGGTCCCCAACCCCAGCCGCCAGCTGGTACTAGTCTGTGGCCTGTTAGGAACCAATGTACAGCAGGAAGTGAGTGGTGGATGAGCCAGCAAATCTTCATCTGCATTTACAGCTGCTTCCCATTGTTCATAGCACCAGCTGGGCTCCATCTCCTGTCACATCAATGGTGGCTTTAGATTCTCTCAGTAGTGCAAACCCTACTGTAAACTGCACGTGAGGGATCTAGGTTGCACACTCCTTATGAGAATCTAATCCTCTGCCCCAGGCCCCCTCATCCATGAAAAAATTGTCTTCCATGAAAGTGGTCCCTGGTGCCAAAACAGTTGGGGATTGCTAGTATGGCATATCTAGGTATAACTTTTGAAGAAAAAGCCAAATATTTTTTTCAAAAAATTGCTGCATCATTTCTCCTACCAGTACTGAGAGATCCAGTTTCTCCATCTTCTTGCCAATAGCTGTTGCTGTTTTTTTGATTATAACTATTCTATCCTAATGGTTTTGATTTCTTTTTCTGTAAAGACTAATGACATTGTTTATCTTTTCATCTGGTTTCTGATCATTTGCAAATCTTCTTTGAAGAAATGTCCATTGAAATCTTATACTCTTTTTTTCTATTGTGTTACTTATCTTTTTAATTATGTTGAGAGTTTTTTATATATTTTAGAACAAGTCAACTACAGTGATTTGAAAATATTTTCTCACCTTTTATGAATTATATTTTCAATTTCCTTTTTTTGTTTTTTTTCTTTGAGACAGTCTCACTATGTCACCCTCAGTATAGTGCTGTCGCATCACAGCTCACAGCAACCTGAAACTCTTGGGCTTAAGCAATTCCCTTGCCTCAGCCTCCCAAGTAGCTGGGACTACAGGTGCCCACCACAACTCATGGCTATTTTTTTTTTATTACAGTTGTCATTGTTGTTTAGCTTGCCCAGGCCAGGTTCAAACCCACCACCCTTGGTACATGTGGCTGATGCCATAACCACTTTACTATAGGTGCTGAGCTATATTTTCAATTTCTTAATGATACCTTTTGAAAAGCAAAAGGTTTTAATCTTGTTGAAGTTGAATTTGCTGATTTTTCCTTTTAATGCTTATACTTTTTGGGTCCTATCTACGAAATCATTGCTTTACTCATGTTCATGAATATTTATTCATATTTTCTTCTAAGAGTTTTATAGTTTTAGCTCGTACATTCAGTTCTGTGATCCATTTTTGTTTATAGTGTAATGTAGGTGTCCAAATTCTCTTTTCTGCATGGATATACAATTGTCCCATTTGTTGAAAAGACTTTTTCCCTTATTGAATTTTCTTGGTGCCCTTGCTAAAAGCTAGTTAACCTTAAATGCAAGGGAATATTTCTGGGTTCTTAATTCTAGTTTATTGATCAATTCTATTCCATATGTCTATCTTTATGCCAGTACCACACTCACTTGATTACTGTAGCTTTATAGTATCTTTTGAAGTTGGGATATATAAGTCCTACAACTTTGTTCTTCTTTTAAAAGATTGTTTTAGCCTATTCTGGGTCCTTTTATATTTTCACAAATTTTATAATTTGCTAATTTCTGCAAAAAGTCACGTTGGATTTTGACAGGGATTGTGTTAAGTCTGTAGATCCATCTGAGGAACATGAGATCTGACAATTAAATTTGTGAACTTATCCTAGAAAAAGTGTTACATACCTCATTGCTGAATATCACCTTGGCCATCTGGTGACTATATTGACATTCAGCAGCAAGCTATGCAGCACTTTTTCCTACGACTTTCATATGACAGCTCTGATGACCATTCTGGTAAAAGAGTTCCAAAATTGCCATGAAGGGTGGACCAGGCACAGGCATCAGCATAGCTTCACGAGGGGAGTACTTAGGTGACCATAGAGATATTCAGTAATGAGGTATATAGCACTTTTCCGAGGATTCATTCACAAACTTATTGTCTGACCTCACTTTGCCATCTTAATAATATTAAATCTTTCAATCCATGAACACAGAATGGTTTCCCATTTATTTAGGTCTTCAGATTCTTTCAGCAATATTGTATAGTTTTCAGTGTCAGTCTTACACTTATTTTGTAAAATTTATTCCTAAATATTCTTTTTGATAGTATTGTGAATGTAATTCTTAATTTCATTTTCAAAGTGTTTATTGCTCATTTATAAAATTAGTAATGATTTTTGTACTTTGATATTTTGTCCTACAACCTTGAGGAACTCACGTATTAGTTTTGGTAGCTTTACAGTAAATTCATAGGGTTTTATATATATAATGATTTGGGGTATAGAAACTTAAATTTTTTAAGCATTTAAATCTTTTTGGCTACTAAAAATTGTTTAAAATTATATTCAAATTTATGTTTTTATGTGGACTTATTAGTGATCAATAAAATATTTTTAAGAAAAAAGTTATATTGAGATAAAATTTCACTACATGGAATGGAAATATGTTCAAGAAAAAAAGGAATGATGTAAAATTTCCTGTTAAAGAAAAGCTTGTTCATGTGGTTTTAAAAGTTGATGGCAGAAGGACAGTGCCTGGTGGCTCAAAGAATGACAGTGCCCAGCCCCATATGCTGGAGGTGGTGGGTTCAAAACCAACCCTGGCCAAAAACTGCAAAATAAACAAACAAACAAAAAAAAAACTTGATGGTGGATATAAAATTGTCTGGTATTTAGGTTCCATTGGCTACATTTACAAGAGTTATGCAACTGTTTCATTTTAAAATGTCAATTTACAATAAAACAGTAATTGTATCTTTTACAACTACTTAAGTCAAATAAAAAATTTTGACAGTCAATAGAAAAATATGGGGGAAGGTACCCAGTCAGTTTGGAGCAGCTTCTTTCAGAGGGCACAAAAAGCAAAACTTCTTGCAGTTTTTCTTTTTTTTGGCTGGGGCCAGGTTTGAACCCACCACAGCCGCTATATGGGGCCGGCACCCTACTCCTTTGAGCCACAGGCGCCACCTAAAAGCAAAATTTCTTGAAAGCACTGTGTTAATGTATTTCTCCCTAAAGCTTTTATTGTCTGGGAAGATCTACCTTTCTGAGACTTGAGGGAATTACCATATGGCTCCCAATTTCGAATTTAAGACTCACTCCCAGTCCAATAATCCCCATCATTAACTACTTTCGATTGAGAAGAGTAAAAATTCCTCTGGAACACGTCATGCAATCCTTAGACAAGTCATTTAACTGGTCTTAAATGCTCAGGGCACTACACAAAGTTTTATTTTCTTTAAAGGTAGGCTTGTTCAACAATATAAATCTATCATCTATAGAATTTTAGTAATTTTGAAGAACTTCTAGAGAAAAGTAAAATATGTTCCCTTTGATTATCCCCTTTTAGCTGTTCATAATCCTAAATGGCTATAGGCCATTTAACATTTTTTCACCATATGGATACAGACATACAGACTTCAAACACACACACCACTGAAACTTAAAACACATCCTGTAAGCGGACTTTGGAGGCCAATTGTCCAATGGACACAGTACAGTTGTCACAAAGGTTAGCTCCAGCAGAGCTAAGGGGAGAATCAGCCTTTGTTCTCCTTCGTGCATTGTGCCCAGGGCGCCCTCTACCGGCCACAGGCTCTCCCTGCCCACGTTCTCTCCCCTTCTGGGGCCTCGGATCTCACAAGAGAGAAAAAGTTGCGCAGGCGCAGGCCACGGAGGCCCTGGTAGGGGTCCGCGCTAAGCCGCTGACTCAGGCCTTCTTCCATCGCTCCTTTTCATCCTCTATAGAGTTTTACGGTGACTTCCGGGTTCGAAGTGGACTGACGTCCTCCCCTACACCATTTAGAAGGTCAGAGAAGACAGAACGTAGGCCGCGTGGGCCAGGGCGAGTCCGTGAGGACCGCGCCCTAGGCGCTCACGGAAGGCGAGCCGCGGCGGCGCGCCTCTGCGCAGTCGCGAGAGCCGGGGCCGCGCGTGACGTGGCGCGCTCCGGAGCGCGCGGCCTGGAACGCTCGAGAGCGGCCGGCGGGCGGGCGCTGCGCACCCGGAGCAGAGCCGAGAGAGTGAGGGAGCCCGCCCTGCGGGGCGGCGGTGGTAGCGGCCGGGCTGGGAACCCTCGGGGTGACGCCGAAGCGCCCCGAGCTGCGCAGGGCACAGGTGGGGCGGCGGCAGCAGGCAGTAGTTCCCGCCTGCGCGGCTCCCTGGGTGGGCTGCCTGGGGGCCCCGCGGACTCGGGGAACTGGGGGGTCCGGGACGGGTGGCGACGGGGGAAAGGGCCCCGGTCCACGTCCCAGTTTCGGAGGTGGAGCTTGGGTTGAAGGGAGCTATGTCGAGACAGGAGAGTTTGAGAAGTTGTTCCTAGTTAACCTAGGTCTTGTTTCCAGACCCTTCAGCCCACACCCATTTACTATTGGGATGGGGAGCGCGTCCCTCCTGTCCCCTTGCCCAGTGCGGTCGATCTTTGGAGCATCTCCGTGGACTAGTCTTTCTCCCCCCATCCCCGGGGTTTGTTCTGGTTTCCAAAATCGCTGGGACTATCCGCTTTCCCCACCCCCTGCGTCTATGGCACCCGCAGTCTGTGCGAAAAGGCCCGCAACCAGCTGCGGTCACGGTGGGTTGGGTAGCGCGTCATTCTGCTCTCTCGAATACTTTTAGCAGTGTTTTCTAGGGATTGAGCTCGTCCGAATTCTGTGTCTGAAAAAAGTTTCGTTTGGAACGCGCAGTTTCGTGACGCGGCATTATTGCGTTAATGTGGGGTTGACCCAGTTGGAACGAACTGCTCTAGTAGTACCGTATGGAATGAGTTTCTGGTAAGAGATTGTTGAGATGGTTGGTAGCTCTGAAGTAATAGCCTCAAGGTATTTCGGAACTTCACAGTTTTTCTTTGAAATTTTTAGAAGCCGAAGAAAAGGTAATAAATGAAAGTCCCCGACTGTAAATGGAATTCTTTTTCTCATTCGCGTTCCTTCATAGAAAGAGACTAAATTTGGTAGTTGGTCTTTGCGATCTGCTTCTCACCGTGGCACTTTCTGAAAACGCTGTCGTATGTGCTTTCCCTAACGAGTGCTTCTGCTGTTGACTGTTCCACGATCCTCAGATTCAGCTGACTTGCTGAGTATTTTGTTTACGATTTTCTTTTCTCTTTTTCTTCTATTTAAAAAAATGTATGCACATACATATAGTTACGTTTGAAATACATGTTTTGTAACTTAAGTGTACCCTTGGTATCTAGAAACAGGTTTTGGTTTGTGATTTAAGACTATTATACTGGTACTGTTTATTTAAATACTTCAGATTGACATTTCAAAAAATTTCTCTTTTCAACTTTGAAAATAAAAACATTGAAATCATGCAAGAATGGTTTTTATTTTTTCAAGACACTAGATAGTACTTAATTGTGCTTAGGAACATGATAGGCATTATTTTAAAGTCACCATTCCACCGTTCCTGTCTCTGTGAAATGTGTTTTCTCACACTGCTGAGAATGTGGCAAATCCCAGTCACAAAATAAAAATAAGGTATTTTAACATAAACTTTTTTCCATATGTTATGATTCCCCATGATAGAGTGGCCATGAGACCTACTTTTCACCTGCCAGATTTCCAGGCTTTTCTTGCTGAATTTCTGTCTTCAAGATTAAGACGCAACAGGAAGGTGATACCAGCAGCCCTGTGGAGTTACAGTTGCTGGCCACACACACACCCTTCTTTCTCAGTGGCCAACTCATTTGTTCCAGTGACACTTTATTTAGGAAAGCTTTCATCGTACCTTCATTACACTATATGTAAAATAAGCTTTGAAATAAGGTTATACCCAAGGTAAATATTGCTTCTATCTAGGGTTCTTCTGTTACGCCGTCCACCTTCAGATGCTCCCTGTGCTTTAAGGCTCAACTGTGTGTCTTTCTACCATGCAACACTCCAACTTTACTCATCCCTTCTTCACTCTTCTGACCTGTAAGCATACTAGGAGCTTTGGCTTTGCAAAGATTTCATCTAATTTTCTTGACATCTGTCTTTTGAGCCATGTATTAATTTCATTCTGACCCTACCATTTACTAGTTCTGTCCTTGGACAAGTTGCTCAATGTTTGTAAAACATTTTCTAAATCACATATTAACCTCCTATGAGGTCTAGATAAACCTTAAGAGTGCCAAACACATACATAGATAGAACTTAGTAAGAGGGTGAATTATGGTGCTTCTAAGGGCCAGAGATCATACGCATTTTATCTTTCATTATGGTAAGTGGGTTTAACACAGTGCTTTTAATTTACTTGTCAACCCCCAAAATAATTTTTGTAAAATTGTCCCTCTTGCCCACTTTTAAGGTTGACATACAGTATTTTACATCATATTTTTAGGTAGTTGAAAAGGATGCATTTTCCCTTGTGGTACTGACATTTTAATATAAAATGGGTATTTGTAAAGTTTTATTTATGAATTTTTTAAATTTCAGAATATTATAGGGGTACCAGTGTTTTGGTTACATGGATTGCTTTTGTACTGGTTGGGTCAAAGTTACAGGTATGCCTATGACCCAGATAGTGTATATTGTCCCCATTAGGTTGCCTTTGCCCATCTCCTTTTCCCCCCTCATTTCTTGATTTCCATTGAGTTTTACTTCCATCTGTGTGGATGAGTGCTGATGCTTAGTTTCAGTTCAATAGTGAGTTCCTATGGTATTTGGGTTTCTATTCTTGTGATACAAAGGAGAATGATTTTTTCAGTTCAAGGGTTTGTTTTTTCTTTAATGGCTGAGAAGCACTCCATGGTGTATATGTATACTACATTTTTTCTTTTTTTGATTTTTTTTTTTTTGGCAGTTTTTTTGACTGGGGCTGGGTTTGAACCCTCCACCCTCAGCATATGGGGCCAGCACCCTACTCCTTGAGCCACAGGTGCTGCCCCACACCACATTTTTCCAAGCCATTCATGAGCTGACTGGCACTTAGACTGTTTCCACATCTTTGCCATTTGTGAATTCTGCTTCAATAAACATTCGAGTGCAAGTGTCTTTTTGCTAAAGTGGCTTTTTTTCTTTGGGTAAATAGTGAGATTGCTGGATCAGACCGTACATATGCTTTTAGTTCTTTGAGGAAATTCCATACTGTTACCCTTAGAGGTTGTACTAGCTTGCATCCCACCAACAATGTATATAGTTAAGTTTTCCTTTCTCTCCTCATCCATACTAGCACCTTTTATTTTGGGGCTTTTTGATAAAAGCCATTCTCACTGGGGTTAGGTGATATCTCATTGTGGTTTTGATTTGCATTTCGTGATAATTGACTTTGAGCACTTTTTCTGTGTTTATTGACCATTAGTCTTCTTTTGAAAAGCTTCTGTCTTTTGCCCTCTTTTAATTTTTTGCCCTCTTTTTAATTGGTTGTTTGACTTTTTTCTTGATTTGCTTGCATTCTTTATAGATCTGGCTGTTAGCCATTTATTGATGCAGAACATGCAAATATTTTCTCCCATTCTATAGGTTGTCTGTTTGCTCTGTTGATTGTTTCCTTGGCTGTGCAGAAGTTTTAATCAAGTCCTATTTATTTATCTTTGCTGTTGCTGTGATTCCCCTTGGGGTTATCTTCAGTATTTTAATTGTATACAAAAAGGTATAATATCTTTGCTGTTTTATATCTTTCGCTATCAATTTTTAAAATACATTGTATTTCATACAGTTCCTTTGTCTTGAAATTTTACTTCCATTTTTATCACCCCTCAGCCTCAAATATGTTATCTTAACGTAGTGTATTTTTGTGCTTGAAAAATTTTATTAATCTCTGTCATATGTGTTTTTAATTTTAATAAAGTATATATATTGAAACTAAGTTTTAAAAATTTCCATGACTATGATTCTAGGAGTTACAGTCTTTCTTTTGAATTGAGTTTTTGCAAGTAGTCATAGTCGATCAGAACTGCATAAATACCTGGTTGATTTTGGCAAGTAATAAGTCTGGCAATGTATGTCTTAATGAGATAGATAATGAAGAGTTGTGCTTAAATTGAAAAGGTTCTTTGATATCTTTGACTTATTGTTTGGGTGTAGGGAGGCTTTTCCATTGTGGGAAAGTGCACCATATAAGACTGGGAATGGGTGAGAGGTATGCCTTTATTTTATAACACAGGAAAGGCTCCTTTCCTGGGAGAGAAAAACCAGCATACCAAACTATAGGCATGATCCCAGGCAGATTGGTTTTAATGAGGAGTTCCAATGAAGTAAAAGCTTTGGGAGTCTTTTTCTTAAACTTGCTCATGTTGGTGCATGTTCCATTATAGATTTCATGTGGCTCAAGCCATCCACATCCTCAAGTTGGAAGACCATTTCGAGCAGTGATTTTCAGCTGAGGATGATACTGTTACTCAAAGTACATTTGGCAGTGTCTGGAGACATTTTTGGTTGTTGCAACCGGGCTTAGAATGTGGAGTATGCTGCTATTGCCATCCAGTGGACAGAGATCAGAGAAGCTATTAACAAAGAATTCACCAGGCCAAAATGTCAGCCATGCCAAGGCCGAGAAACCCTGATTTAGAGGATTTGTTTTGGAAATCACTGAATTAGACTATTTAATTCAGTAATCTAGGGCGGGATTTCATAAACTTTCTTTTCAGGTAGTATGTATAGGCATTGTGGGCCACATAGCGGATCTCTGTTGTACATTCTTCTTTGTTGTCCTGACCTTCTGAAAATATAAAAATCCTATCTCCAGGATCTTTTAAGAAACAAGTGATCTAAAACAGTTAACGCCTTCAAACCTGAGTTTTCTTCTCTCTAAAGTACTAATAAACATAATGCCTCAAGAATTGTTTGTAAGGATTTAATGAGATACACACCCAACATAGTGTGTCCCGCCTAAGTTAAGCACCTATAAATGGCGCCAGGTGATGGTGGTGTCCTAGAGCACACAGCATAGAAGTGGGTGTTCAAGGCCCTGTTCAAGTCAGCAGGATGAGCTTGATGCTGGCCAAGTTCCCCATCAGCTCATGAAGGCCTAGTCAGCCTCTGCTGTCATTTTGCTTTCTAACTCTGAGCTTCCTTGTGCCCTAAGGGAGATAGAGAGTAGAATATCTATGCCACAGTTTCTGAAGGAAAAAGGGATCAGGGTCTGTGGAAAAGTGAGGCATTGTAATGATACAAGTTGCCGTGAACATTGCTGTACATATTTTTGGCGCACATATGCATCCATATTTGCTGTTTATATACCTTCTAGTGGGATTGCTAGGTCATTGAGTAGATTAATGTTTAACTTTAGTAGAAATCGCCAGTTTTCTAAAATGCTTGTACCATTTTTCAGCTTTCACCATAAAAATATAAGTGTTCCAGTTATTGTCTTCACTAATATGGGTCAGTCTTTTAAATTTTAGCCATCTGATAACTGTATAGTTGCTATCACTATGGATTTTAGTGAGGAATGGTGTGTGTTGAACCTATTTTCCCATGATATTAAAATATCCTCTTATGAGGTGCCTTGTCTTTTTCTCTTTAAGAAAAGTGGTTATACCTTTCTAAAAATCTTTCTAAAGTCATTTTAGTGGGGTTTGGAGAGGAAACAGGGCTAATTGCCAGTGAGTGACCTGCTATCTTTAAATGAAAGTTAGATAAGTTAAAGTTTCATCGACCCTTTTTTTCTCATTTTTGTCCTCTCTGGCGTGTAAATCAGTAAATTTTTTATTAGCTATATATATAATCTGGGTTTCTATTTAATGAATTTTGAACGAGACTCTTGTTTCAACCCCATAAGGATTGATACATGATAGGAAACTGTTTTATTATAAGAATCTGAAAGCGGCCAGGCTTGGTGGCTCATGCCTATAATCCTAGGACTCTAGGAGGCCAAGGAGGGCGGATTGCCTGAGCTCAGGAGTTCAAGACCAGCCAGAGCAAGAGCAAGACCCCATCTCTACTAAAAATAGAAAAACTAGCTAGATGTGGTGGCAGGTGCCTATGGTCCCAGCTATTTGTGAGGCTGAGGGAAGAGGATCTCTTGAGCCCAAGAAACTGAGGTTGCTGTAAACTTAGATGATGCCAAGGCATTCTACCCAGGGCAACAGAGTAAGACTATCTTTAAAAAAAAAAAAAAATCTGAAATGAGAAAATTATTTAATAGATGTGGTCTTATTTATTATCTTGTTTTATTAATAAGAGATTTAGGACCAAAATATTTCTTTTTATTTATTTATTCATCAAATACATATTAAATATTTATACTTTATGTACGACAGAGCTAATAGGCTTAGATACCATGGTGAACAAAGCAGAAACAAGCAAGACTTCTGTTTTCTTGAAATATATTTAAGTAGGAGAGATGGATTATAAATAAGTAAACAAATACCTAACAAGATAATTAAAGACAGTCTTTCTTGTTTTGCAGAAATGGAGCAAGAGCCACAAAATGGAGAACCTGCTGAAATTAAGATTATCAGAGAAGCATACAAGAAGGCCTTTATATTTGTTAATAAAGGACTGAATACAGATGAATTAGGTCAGAAGGAAGAAGCAAAGAACTATTACAAGCAGGGAATAGGGCACTTGCTCAGAGGAATCAGCATTTCATCGACAGACCCTGAGCACACAGGCCCTGGGTGGGAATCTGCTAGACAGATGCAGCAGAAGATGAAGGAGACACTACAGAATGTGCGCACCAGGCTGGAAATCCTAGAGAAGGGTCTTGCTACTTCCTTGCGGAATGATCTTCAGGATGTGCCCAAGTTATATCCAGAATTTCCACCTAAAAACACACATGAAAAGTCACCAGAACCACAGTTGCTTAGTTCACCACCTCAGCACACTGAAATAAATGGAAATACTCCAGTTACAAGTGCAGGGGCAGTGGCTGCACCTGCTTCTCTATCCTTACCATCTCAAAGCTGTCCAGCAGAAGCACCTCCTGCTTACACTCCTCAGGCTGCTGAGGGTCACTACACTGTATCCTATGGAACAGAGTCTGGGGAGTTTTCATCAGTTGGAGAAGACTTTTATCAGAATCATTCTCAGCCACCTCCTCTTGAGACTTTAGGGCTAGATGCAGATGAGTTGATTTTAATTCCAAATGGAGTACAGATTTTTTTTGTAAATCCTGCAGGGGAGGTTAGTGCACCTTCATATCCTGGGTACCTTCGAATTGTGAGGTTCTTGGATAATTCTCTTGATACAGTTCTAAACCGTCCTCCTGGATTTCTTCAGGTAAGCCAAAAGAAAATGTAAATGTAATTTGAAATATGTGTAGAATATGTCGTTTGTATTTGTTACTATCTATGTGCCCATTATAATAAGTGGAAAAGATAACTTTTTAAATAGATTCAATGGAATTGATAAATCTTAAACATCTATGTTTGTGTTTATTAGTATTTTACATTCTTTTTTTTTTTTTAACATATAAAGTCTTACTTTGGTGTTAAATTTGTGATGATAGAACCCGAGGGAGATCAGTGTTCGTGCTAAAATTTTAAATCCTTTCTCTGAAGAAACCTAATAACTTTAATTTTAAAAAGGATTTATGTAATTCATGTGGACATTTAACTATAAATATCCACAAATACTGTGATGACCCAGCTGAGAGTCTAAACTGACCTAGACCCATCCCACCATCCAGAACAGTAGTTCTCAATCAGGGCAGTTTTGCACCACCACCCTCCCCCACCCCAGGAACACTTGGCAATGTCTGGAGTCATTTTTGGTTATCACAACAGGAGATTGATTGCTACTGGCATAGTGAATAGAGGGCAGGGATGTTGCCAAGCATCTATGCAGGACAGCTCTCATTAGCACAAAATTCATTCAGCCCCAAATCTCAATTATGTTAAGAGAAGCCCTGGTCTGAAAGTGGACTGTGATGATACTTTCAGTCCAGGAGTAAAGACGGGCATTGAATAAAGGTTGGCATCAGGCCATGCCTGTGGAGTTAGTGAGGTATGCTGAAGGTGCTGATCCAGTGACAGATCTGGTTTTAGAAGGTTGAACGTAAATTTGGGGAGGTGAGTTCTTGAAAAGAGGACTCATTATATATTGAGTGTAACAAAGCAATTTGCATTGAAGAGGATCACTATTTGAAGCAAAGCAGGTGGTTTTGTCCCAAGTCCAGATGATGTGGTTTAGTTACAGCACTGGCTATCCATATTCACTTTCTCTTATGGTGCACTCTACTGTCAGTTCTTACGCAGTTTTTACCTGGAGTCAGTTTGAAAGTTGTTTAAAGACAGAGGCTTACTAGGAATGTGTGAAGGAGTTACTTGAAGGGCATTGCTCAGAGGAAAGATTTGCTACTGGACAGGAAGAATATTGTGAATTCTGCACGTTATTTTAGGGGGAAGAAACCTTAAGGTGAAAAGGGATATGCTTATTGATTGAGCTTGGGGCAGGAGGCTGATAAAAGCTATAGCAATTTCTGCTGATCTCTTAATATTTGGATTATAATAGTGGAATTAAAAAATCTTTGGGGCCTCAGCAACTGGAAGTACAGGTAGTAAATGTCAGAAACACTGCAGCTGGTTACATGCACTCAGCCATTCAAATGACTTGCAGTCCCCAACCCCCATGCCATGGATCACTACCTCTCCATGGCTGTTAAGAACCAGGTCATGGCTCGGCGCCTGTGGCTCAAGCGGCTAAGGCGCTAGCCACGTACACCTAAGGTGGCGGGTTCAAATCCCCAGCCCGGGCCCGCCAAACAACGATGGCTGCAACCAAAAAATGGCCAGGTGTTGTGGTGGGCACCTGTGGTCCCAGCTACTTGGGAGGCTGAGGCAAGAGACTCGCTTGAGCCCAGGAGTTGGAGGTTGCTGTGAGCATGA